GACGCTTGTTCGTTCACGCGTGCCAATCGGTGCATGCATGCCTACAATTCCACTGTAAACAATTGCCGGTTCCTGACTTTTGGAGCCAATAACATGAGTATTATTTCAACCTGGAAACAGCAGTGTTTGTAGCTGTAGTGTGCTCAGTCACTACTGTTACTGCAAGGGACCTCTTGCACTGAATCAGAGTCTTCATTTAGGCTGGAGGAACCGATGTGCTATGAAGCTCTTTTTCACAGAGGTCCAGTATGGGGGGGGGGGGTCAGCAAGTTACAAGAGCACTGGCAGAAGTGACTGCAAACCACGCTCATGTGTGAGCCACACAAGGTGTTTGGAAGTCCTATTGAGCCCTCAGCAAGGTAAGTAGGTCCCCACGCCTGGTTTATACGCGGTGAGAGTCACTATTCAGCAATTATGATAGGCGACCGCCATGCATAACAGGCGTTATAGGCTGCGGGAGCTATTTTTTGGGTAACAGAGGACAGTACAGAGAAATACATTATTGCGTTGTAATTCTATGGTCCCGCGTCAATGCTCGCTGCCTTCACGACCAACCCGCATTGACCGGCGTGGTATAATTTGATCAAATAACCCCTGTGACCTGTACAGTGACGGGAGACCTTCATCCAGCAGTGGATTAACATAGCGTTGTGCAACTCCTACTAAACACCATGTCATGAAGGCCGTGTGTCCATAATCTGTCTTCCTGTCCAATCAATTCCACCAGGGATACTATATATTTGCTCGTATGCATTTTTTTTTAGTTGTGACAGCGACCCACTCACTAATCTCTTGCTCATCCATATTGGAAGTACTGAGCAAGTGGTGGAAATTACACATTTCTACGCAGGCAGTAGACCGTAGAGCAATTGCCATTAATTTTTGGGGGGGTATTTATTACACCTTCGATAGTGCTGTTTGTTACTGGCCACTTTGCGTTTTGGGCCTGAGCTCAGGAACTATGATAAAAAAAATACAAGTGGTTGCAACCCAGGGTGATCCATTTATAGACACCCCCCACCGATTTCTAATGCTTCGTTTCTGTCTTTTGAATAGCTTATTGTAATTTGTAATAGCCATGGCTCCATAGCTGACACACCAGAGTGCAAACATATTTCGCGAGTATATTCAGCTTGGCGGGAGACGCACAGAGGCTTCGAAAGGCCAATGTTTTCTCTATCATTTCCCCCCAATTATTGTATAGGGGTACATGAGCGTCGTTCTGAAAAAAAGTAGAAATTATCTCATGCCTACTTCTGGGCAATCGTTAATGTGTCAGTTAAAACCGTTCATTGTCGGAGTTTTCACCTGTCCTGGTGGTCACAGGACCATCCGTCGAGGTAGGTTTCCTGGGAATTAGGTAAATCTTCCTGGGACATGAATAGTCCCAATTCTTGCATGGTTGCTATGATTCAAGCCCCACTGAGTTTCAATAATTTTCAGGAGGGTCCTGCCAAGCTTTAGTTTCATGAAGGGGCAACAATTGCTGTATTTCCCAGTTAAGTAATTTGCGAGTAATGTTCTTGATTTGTTGTTGTTGTTGAAATTTTGGGATCATAACGCCAGCTCATAATAATAGCCGACTCTTCTTCAAATCATGTCACGGGATGTCTAACATCCACTGTGTGGTTAATACACCCGCAGTGTTACTCAGGGCCTCCTGCCAGTGTTTGAACCGCAAATCTCCACAACAAGCGGGGGGACGCGCTACTGTTCAGCCGTGTCACCTCCACAGTCGGTACGGTAATATTAAACCACCAACTCAAGACGATGCATTTACATGTAGATCGCCCAAGTTGTGTCCCGATTTTATTGTCAGAGGTGGCAACCAAAGTTAATTCATCAACTGTCTTAACATTTCCAGTTATAACGCGGAGCCCCGCCGTGTAAAAGTGAAAGTGACCAAGTCAATCCCTCTGAGCCTTGTCATCCTCTTCATGGCTTTCTGTTCCGTTATAAAACAAATGCGTGCTTAACAACAGATGTGGTGGAGGTTTTCTGATTTGTGCTTGGTGGTATAGCGACCTCTAGTGGCTGCAGGGTCTCACGTCAAATGCGTTCCATCAGCTTGTTTACCGAGGAAGGCCTCGCCGTGTCTCAAGACTAATTTTTGCAAGAGGGTCCTGCCAACTTTCCTCTTTAGGGGGCCGATGTTGCTGCTGATGCTGCTGTGTATTTTATAAAATCTCGGTTTAGGAGGTTCGTGAAGGACGCTGCCATTGACCAGTTGAAGGCAATCGCCCCCTAACAACAACGGAGGGCGGAGGAGCGACACTCACAACAACGAGCGGAGCGCCGGGCGGATACAACGCAGCAAGTTGGCACAGTGGTGGGCACGGGTGGTGCACCTAGCCTGGCACAGCAGGGGGCACAGGTGGTGCATCTGCCAGCCATCTAAGTCAATCAACCAAAGGCACCCGGGTCTATCCCGTGACCTCCTCCAACACCTAGCCTGGCACAACAATCAACTCATGGCACCTGAGTCTGTCCCGTGACCTCCTGCACCTAGCCTGGCACAACAATCCACTCATGGCACCTGAGTCTGTCCCGTGACCTCCTGCACCTAGCCTGACACAGAAATCAACCCATGGCACCTGGGTCTGTCCCGTGACCTCCTCCTGCATCTAGCCTGGCACTGCAGTCAACCCATGGCACCTGGGTTTGTCCCATGACCTCCTGCACCTAACCTGGCAGATAAGTCAACCCATGGCACCTGGGTCTGCATACCTGTCAACCCCTTATCACCCCGTGCCCCTTATAAATCTCAATGTTCATCCTACAAACTCCCATCACAAGGGAGAAACACAAAAAAGACATTTTTTTCTCCTGTCGAAACGGCTGTACGCTGTATGGACCTGAAAAACAAATTTCCCTGGACAAGAAACACGTTGTTAAACCGCATGGGTTGACACGGTGTGGCTAAACTATGAGAGAGCCCGGAGGAAACCCACGAAGAAGAGGGAGCAGGGGAAGTACAAACTCCGCACAGATGTCGTGAAGAAAACAAAGCGCTTTACATCGTGGCGGCTGGTGACATTGCCACGAGAGTGACCTCTAAAAAATATGGTCTAATAATTCAGAAAGACCTCGTCATGTTATTGGCCTTCCCGTGAAAGTGATAACAAATGCCTTATCTACCAGCGGTAGGCATTTATAAAGAATACAACAAGACAACGAAACAGTTAAATCCTGTCCCCATGCCCCTCAAGTCCACCCCAGACAACCCCTTTGACACTGCCGAAAGCCGTGGGCCTGCTTTGTCTGCACAGGGAAAACTCGCCTTACTCTTTGGTTCTTTCGTTAAAGTCACGTAGGTATAAAATAAAACAAATAAATCACGACTTTTCGATTGCAACACAAGCAATCATCATCAGGTGGGAAAACCACAACAAGGATTTTTTTTTGCTGTGGTTTTCCCACCTGATGATGATTGCTTGTGTTGCGCCCGAAACGTCGTGATTTAAATGTATTTTATTTTATACCCACGCGACTTTACCGAAGTAACCAAAGAGTGTGGATCCCTGCAGTCACGAAAACTTCAAATCTAGATTAAAACTCACGTTGCGACATCGTCTCGTCACAGCCACGGGCGCCTTTGTCCACCGCCCCGGGTGGGTCTCGAACGTCGTGGCCACAACTCCAGCAGCTGATCGCGACGAGCGAAGAAGGGGAACTTGTCACTGGGAAGGACGCCTCCTTCACAGACGCCCCCGAGAGCCCCTCGAGGGACAACTCAGACTGCCGCGTTGCAGCAGCGGTTTATTCTCATACGAACAACTTAAAGCCGTCTTCTTTGGTTCTTTCGGTAAAGTCACGTAGAATGAGAATAAAATAATAAAAGAACACGATAAAATTCTCACGACGTTTCGGCCACAACACAAGTGGCCTTCTTCAGGTTCATAGTTCATTTATTTGGTATAGCCCTGTGAGCCATTCGGCTCTTGAATCGGGTGCAACCGCAACAAACAAAAACATGAACAAGAAAAACATCTTAAAGTGACTTTGTGTGACTGTGCAAACAAAAAAATCCAGGAAAAAAATCAAAATATTCCTGAAAAAGCACCGTACACCAACGCTGTGTGCAAAAATCCCAGTGGGATGCAAGTCAAACAACAACAACAACAACCACAAGACAACTAAGATTAAGGCCATGAGTCTAACTCCGTACTACAATAAACAAAAACATGGCCAGAACAAAAAAACTTTTCGAAATCACCAAAATAAAAGCCATAAATGCAATGTAACAGTGATCATAGGGACTGTGACCGAATTTTTAACAATATACTACGTAAATAAATTATAACACCAAAATCTAGAGCCATATTTTGAAAGGAGCAAACCTATCGGAACTACTTTTGTAGCTCTGTAGTCCCGAGAGGTTTGCTCCTTTCACCTGAAGAAGGCCACTTGTGTTGTGGCCGAAACGTCGAGAATTTTATTGTTTTATTTTATTATTTTATTCTCATTCTACGTGACTTTACCGAAAGAACCAAAGAAGATGAATCCTTGCAGTCACGAAAGCTTTAAATCGAAACTTTAAACCGTTATCGCCATTAGGCAATTCACGTTGAAAGAATTATAATATTTTTAAAATAAATGTTAAACACACATCAACATTTTTTTCGAAAAGTCTTTTTTCGAAAAGTATTTTTTAATGAGAATTTACTTTTTTTTATATTTCTCGTCATCCCAGCTGAGTGGTGGGGGCAGGCGCCCCCCCCCCCCCCCCCACAGCGCCCCTGGTGGACGGAGCCCGCGCGCGCCTCGACGGAGCTCCGCCTTGCTGGGGGCAAATAAATAAATAATTAGAGAGAGGAGGGGCGGGGGCTGAGGGCGGGGGGCTGCGGGTGGGGGCGGGGGCTGAGGGTGGGGGGCTAAGGGCGGGGGGCTGAGGGCTGGGGGCGGGGGCTGAGGGTGGGGGGCTGAGGGCGGGAGGCTGAAGGTGGGGGGCGGGGGCTGAGGGCGGGAATCAACTAACATCGGAACCGGTTCCTCAGCGGACTCCGCTACCCGGGATCCGGTTCCCATTGAATGTAACGGTGGAACCGGTTCCACGGTCTCCTCAACTGCACAGCGCGGTTGGGAATTTGTAAAAAAAAATCGCCTTTTTTTGTCGCTAAGCGTCGTTTCACGAACGAATCCCGCGCGTAGAAACAGTCTTTGTGTGTTTAAAGTTGCACGCCAGAGTGCTTGTTTTTATTGTAAAAAAAAAACATTTTTAAGTATCTGCCAAGACTGGAGGAGGGAACCGTCGCGGTCAAGCGAAGGCGGCGGGGTCACCTCGCCTCTCTCCCGGTAGGGCTTCTAGGAAATACGCGAGGCTTCGGCCGAGTATGCGTACTCGAACTCCAGACGACTTCAGACACGCGCAAAGTGCATTAAGCCGCATCGATGCGTACTCTTGTGGGCAGTGCAGAAACATCATCATACTTCATCAACCCGCACTCACCAGCGTGGTGAAGTATGGTCAAATAACCCCCACGACCTGCACCGCATATGGGAGGTTCTCATCCAGCAGTGCATTGACAAATGCTGTACGGTAGTTTGTGTGCGTGTGTATTGTCGATTTAATGGGCAGCTATTTGCAATATACAGACAGTGCTTGAGTCTGGCCACGAGGTGGAGTGAGGTTGACTCGTGGTGGCGTGAGGTGGAGTGAGGTTGACTCGTGGTGGAGTGAGGTTGACTCGTGGTGACGTGAGGTGGAGTGAGGCTGACTCGTGGTGGAGTGAGGTGGAGTGAGGTTGACTCGTGGTGACGTGAGGTGGAGTGAGGTTGACTCGTGGTGGAGTGAGGTGGAGTGAGGTTGACTCGTGGTGGAGTGAGGTTGACTCGTGGTGACGTGAGGTGGAGTGAGGTTGACTCGTGGTGGCGTGAGGTGGCGTGAGGTTGACTCGTGGTGGAGTGAGGTTGACTCGTGGTGACGTGAGGTGGAGTGAGGTTGACGCGTGGTGGCGTGAGGTGGAGTGAGGTTGACTCGTGGTGGCGTGAGGTGGAGTGAGGTTGACTCGTGGTGGCGTGAGGTGGAGTGAGGTTGACTCGTGGTGGAGTGAGGTGGAGTGAGGTTGACTTGAGGTGGAGTGAGGTTGACGCGTGGTGGCGTGAGGTGGAGTGAGATTGACGCGTGGTGACGTGAGGTGGAGTGAGGTTGACTCGTGGTGGAGTGAGGTGGAGTGAGGTTGACTTGAGGTGGAGTGAGGTTGACGCGTGTTGGCGTGAGGTGGAGTGAGGTTGACTCGTGGTGGAGTGAGGTGGAGTGAGGTTGACTCGTGGTGGAGTGAGGTGGAGTGAGGTTGACTCGTGGTGGCGTGAGGTGGAGTGAGGTTGACTCGTGGTGGAGTGAGGTGGAGTGAGGTTGACTCGTGGTGACGTGAGGTGGAGTGAGGTTGACTCGTGGTGGAGTGAGGTGGAGTGAGGTTGACTCGTGGTGGAGTGAGGTTGACGCGTGGTGGCGTGAGGTGGAGTGAGGTTGACTCGTGGTGGAGTGAGGTGGAGTGAGGTTGACTCGTGGTGACGTGAGGTGGAGTGAGGTTGACTCGTGGTGGCGTGAGGTGGAGTGAGGTTGACTTGAGGTGGAGTGAGGTTGACGCGTGTTGGCGTGAGGTGGAGTGAGGTTGACGCGTGGTGGCGTGAGGTGGAGTGAGGTTGACTCGTGGTGGAGTGAGGTGGAGTGAGGTTGACTCGTGGTGACGTGAGGTGGAGTGAGGTTGACTCATGATGACGTGAGGTGGAGTGAGGTTGACTCGTGGTGGAGTGAGGTGGAGTGAGGTTGACTCGTGGTGGAGTGAGGTGGAGTGAGGTTGACGCGTGGTGGCGTGAGGTGGAGTGAGGTTGACTCGTGGTGGAGTGAGGTGGAGTGAGGTTGACTCGTGGTGGCGTGAGGTGGAGTGAGGTTGACTCGTGGTGACGTGAGGTTGACTCGTGGTGGAGTGAGGTGGAGTGAGTTTGACTCGTGGTGGAGTGAGGTGGAGTGAGGTTGACTCGTGGTGGAGTGAGGTGGAGTGAGGTTGACTCGTGGTGGAGTGAGGTGGAGTGAGGTTGACGCGTGGTGGAGTGAGGTGGAGTGAGGTTGACTCGTGGTGACGTGAGGTGGAGTGAGGTTGACTCGTGGTGGCGTGAGGTGGAGTGAGGTTGACTCGTGAAGTGAGGTTGACTCGTGGTGGAGTGAGGTGGAGTGAGGTTGACTCGTGGTGACGTGAGGTGGAGTGAGGTTGACTCGTGGTGGAGTGAGGTGGAGTGAGGTTGACTCGTGGTGGAGTGAGGTGGAGTGAGGTTGACTCGTGGTGGAGTGAGGTGGAGTGACGTTGACTCGTGGTGGAGTGAGGTGGAGTGAGGTTGACTCGTGGTGACGTGAGGTTGACTCGTGGTGGAGTGAGGTGGAGTGACGTTGACTCGTGGTGACGTGAGGTGGAGTGAGGTTGACTCGTGGTGGAGTGAGGTGGAGTGACGTTGACTCGTGGTGGAGTGAGGTGGAGTGAGATTGACTCGTGGTGACGTGAGGTGGAGTGAGGTTGACTCGTGGTGGCGTGAGGTGGAGTGAGGTTGACTTGAGGTGGAGTGAGGTTGACGCGTGTTGGCGTGAGGTGGAGTGAGGTTGACTCGTGGTGGAGTGAGGTGGAGTGAGGTTGACTCGTGGTGGAGTGAGGTGGAGTGAGGTTGACTCGTGGTGGCGTGAGGTGGAGTGAGGTTGACTCGTGGTGGAGTGAGGTGGAGTGAGGTTGACTCGTGGTGACGTGAGGTGGAGTGAGGTTGACTCGTGGTGGAGTGAGGTGGAGTGAGGTTGACTCGTGGTGGAGTGAGGTGGAGTGAGGTTGACGCGTGGTGGCGTGAGGTGGAGTGAGGTTGACTCGTGGTGGAGTGAGGTGGAGTGAGGTTGACTCGTGGTGACGTGAGGTGGAGTGAGGTTGACTCATGATGACGTGAGGTGGAGTGAGGTTGACTCGTGGTGGAGTGAGGTGGAGTGAGGTTGACTCGTGGTGGAGTGAGGTGGAGTGAGGTTGACTCGTGGTGGCGTGAGGTGGAGTGAGGTTGACTCGTGGTGGAGTGAGGTGGAGTGAGGTTGACTCGTGGTGGCGTGAGGTGGAGTGAGGTTGACTCGTGGTGACGTGAGGTTGACTCGTGGTGGAGTGAGGTGGAGTGAGTTTGACTCGTGGTGGAGTGAGGTGGAGTGAGGTTGACTCGTGGTGGAGTGAGGTGGAGTGAGGTTGACTCGTGGTGGAGTGAGGTGGAGTGAGGTTGACGCGTGGTGGAGTGAGGTGGAGTGAGGTTGACTCGTGGTGGAGTGAGGTGGAGTGAGGTTGACTCGTGGTGGAGTGAGGTTGACTCGTGGTGACGTGAGGTGGAGTGAGGTTGACTCGTGGTGGCGTGAGGTGGCGTGAGGTTGACTCGTGGTGGAGTGAGGTTGACTCGTGGTGACGTGAGGTGGAGTGAGGTTGACGCGTGGGGGCGTGAGGTGGAGTGAGGTTGACTCGTGGTGGCGTGAGGTGGAGTGAGGTTGACTCGTGGTGGCGTGAGGTGGAGTGAGGTTGACTCGTGGTGGAGTGAGGTGGAGTGAGGTTGACTTGAGGTGGAGTGAGGTTGACGCGTGGTGGAGTGAGGTGGAGTGAGGTTGACTCGTGGTGACGTGAGGTGGAGTGAGGTTGACTCGTGGTGGAGTGAGGTGGAGTGAGGTTGACTCGTGGTGGAGTGAGGTGGAGTGAGGTTGACTCGTGGTGGAGTGAGGTGGAGTGAGGTTGACTCGTGGTGACGTGAGGTGGAGTGAGGTTGACTCGTGGTGGCGTGAGGTGGAGTGAGGTTGACTCGTGAAGTGAGGTTGACTCGTGGTGGAGTGAGGTGGAGTGAGGTTGACTCGTGGTGACGTGAGGTGGAGTGAGGTTGACTCGTGGTGGAGTGAGGTGGAGTGAGGTTGACTCGTGGTGGAGTGAGGTGGAGTGAGGTTGACTCGTGGTGGAGTGAGGTGGATTGACGTTGACTCGTGGTGGAGTGAGGTGGAGTGAGGTTGACTCGTGGTGACGTGAGGTTGACTCGTGGTGGAGTGAGGTGGAGTGACGTTGACTCGTGGTGACGTGAGGTGGAGTGAGGTTGACTCGTGGTGGAGTGAGGTGGAGTGACGTTGACTCGTGGTGGAGTGAGGTGGAGTGAGGTTGACTCGTGGTGATGTGAGGTGGAGTGAGGTTGACTCGTGGTGGAGTGAGGTGGAGTGACCTTGACTCTTGGTGGAGTGAGGTGGAGTGAGGTTGACTCGTGGTGACGTGAGAACTGCGGAGTACGTCGTGGCAATTAACTACTTGGCATTTTCATCTTTCATACATCCTCCTCCTGTGCACCAGCTTGCTATACATCACAGGACTATGCTGGACATGGCGACGCCTTGCAGAGGCCTTCATCCAGCAGTGGATTGATCATGGCTGACAATGATGCCTTCCGATATAAGGAAGCCGCGAAGGGCTATGCAATTTTTTTTTCAATCTAGATTTAAACTCATTTGATTAGAACCGCTTTTCGTGTTTAGTTTGTCGTCCTTCTCCAGAACCTCCGATGAACACGGTCGTCTGAGTACGGTGGAAAAAAAGAAGTTCAGCATGGATATACATAACGCGCCACTTCTCTCTCTGCGTGTTCCCACAGTTCAACTTCTCTCGGCGGGCTGCTGTTGGAAAAACACACGTACACACACACACGTAATACGACGTACGTACACGCGCACACACACACGCACCAGCAAGTCGGCGGGCATGAGCTGGTCCCTGCGTCTGGCCGGCAAGCGGCAGCGGCGCGCCGTGCGCCTGTGCCTGGCGTCGGCGCTGCTGGTCGTGGCGCTGCTGGCCCTCGCCCCGGCGCTGCTGCCCCCGTCGCTGGCTCTGCCGCTGCTGCTGGGCAACCCGTTGAAGGAGCGGCGCTTCGTGGGCGCCGACGCGTGCCCTGCCTGCTTCGGCGTCAGCTGGTGCCGCAGGTTCTCGGCCGGGCAGCTCGTGCTCGACTCGTGGCACCGCCTGCGCTTCTTGGATTTTGTCAACGTCAAGCAGGTCGGTTGTGTGGAGCGTGCCGGGCCGGTGGTTTTAGGTGGACTTTTAGGACCAGGGGTGGGGACCCTGTGATGGCTCGTGACTTCATTTCGTAGTCATGTGGTGTATAAAGAAAAAAAATGTAGTTGGCAGTATAACCCTTTTCACCCTTTTATCGCCACTGACATGCTTCTTTTTTTCGTGACTTCTCTCATTGATTCCTCTGCCCGTGTCGAGGACTTAGTCTGGCTGTGTTGTCTCATTAACGTTGTGTTCAACCAAAACACTTCAGGTCACTACACTTCTCTATGTGCGTATTCCCTCCCATCGTCTTATTTCCTCAAGCTCTTACAATAACCTTGCTCAATTCAAGAAAGGAGTTATAATCTCATTACAAGCTTTGGAATGCTGTTCATTACCGGTCGCTTTATGTTTTGGGACTCTGGGCCTGTGCTGAACATCCGTGTTATATATTGTAAAGGATTGACAATGAATGAAGCTGTGAAATTGGAAGACGACTGACTGCCATGGAGGGACTTTCTTCATTATCGCTTCTGAGTAGACGGACGATAAGTTAAAATGATGAAAAGATATATGGTACACTCGTGTTGAGCAAGCTGCATTTAAGAACTTGTAAGTAATGTTTATTTTTACGGGAAGTACAGAAAAGCACAACCACAATACACTAAGAATGTCAAGTACAATGACTAAATTACGCAATACTTACATTGTAATCATCTTGATACCGTGAAATTTGATATCGCACGCTATTGTATTGTGAAACTTATACCGCGACAACACGTGCTCCTGGATAACATTGGTCCAGCTCAAGTGTAGGATCTCGACGGATTGTTGTATAGTGAGACCGCGAGGGATGGCCACTGCTTTGGGAGGCCTTCATCCAGCAGCGGACAGTTCGTGGTTGATGACGATGCTCATGACGACCAAGCAATGCCGTCAGATGGTAACCACGTGATCGTTGCCCCCAATCCCCAGGTGTACTTTGGCCACTATGACGACCCGCGAGAAGGCCGCAAGGCTGTGGTACTGAAACGCTTGGGCAGCGCCTCGGAGCTGGCGGCCTTGGACCGCGACATCTGTCAGGATGCTGCGATTGGCAGCGGCGGCGGCGGCGGCGGCAGTGACGCAGCGACACCTTGCCACCCAGCGTTGGCCATGCTGCACTGGGAGCCTTTCCACCAGGCCATGCTGGGGGGCGGCAGCCACTCAGGTCCCCGGCAGGAGCAGCACTTGAGCCCCAACGATGAACACCGGCCGGGGCAGAATCTAATTCACAACCCGGTACAGAATAAAATAGAGCAGCTGGCGCAACTTGAACAGCGGCAGCAGCAGCGGCAGCAGCATCTGCTGAATCAGAACTTAATACAAGTTCAACAGGCAGGTCCACCTCTCCCACCGCAGCAGCAGCAGCAGCAGCAGCAGCAGGCGGTGGTGCCGCGACTGCTGACGCCGGCGATGGTGGCGGGCTGGTCGGACATGGTGCGCTGCCCGTCTCAGCGCCTGCTGGACCGCGTGGTGCGGCGCTACGCGGAGGCTCGCGACTCGGGCAGCGTGCTGCTGAGCCACCTGCACGAGGGCGAGCGGGCGCAGCTGCTGCTGACGCTGCGCTTCAACCCTGAGCCGCTCGTGTTGCAGGCGAGTGGCGTCGCACGCCGACAATCCCTCACCAGCCGTCAGCACCGCCTCTCAACACGTTTGTCTTTTTAACTAGCTTCACCCTTTTGATTTAAAGCTTTCGTGACTGCAGTAATTCATATTCTTAGCTCTTTCGGTAAAGTCACGTTGAAGGGAAACAATGAAATAATAAAATATGTATAAAACGTTAAAAATTCTCACGACGTTTCGACCATAACACAAACGGTCGTCATCAGGTGTGTCGGTTTTCACATTAATTTATTTATAATAAAACGGTGTGGTTATTTATTTATTTAAAAAACGTCAGCGCCACGCGCAGCGATTTGGCAGTTTATTTATAAGGACTAAATAAAATACACCGTTTTAAAATAAATAAATTAATGCGGACCGATGCACCTGATGACTGTGTTATGGTCGAAACGTCGTGAGAATTTTTATTGTTTTATATATATTTTATTATTTTATTGTTTCCCTTCAACGTGACTTTACCGAAAGAGCTAAGAATATAGCTTCACCCTGTTTGTGCTATTAGAACGTTGTGGGTAGCAGACGGCAGTGCAGCAAAATATATAGTACTGGTTATTTTCTCGTGTCTGTGATCCATGCCTTCAGCAACTCGCACTGAGCATGGGAAGTCCTTCATCCCTGCATATACACATGCCATGTGTCATGTTATGAGATGAAGAATCCATCCAAATCTCTCAGAGAAAATATATAACCCTCGGAATAAGGTAGAATGACTGAGATCCCTTCAAGTGATCTGTAATCTCTTTTCCTATCATTTAATATTATTTTGTATCTCGTTTTTATGTTATCGGGGTCATCCTTGACCCCTCCCCATCACCCTAGGCATTTGATTTTGATTGTATTTGCATGTTTAAATACCCTTCCCTATTTTGTTTTACACTTGCAAACTAAGGCAGGTTACGATAACTCACAATGATGATCCAGTATAAATTACACTTGAGTATAAATCTGTGTTGCTATTAGGGACTTATTCCGCAGAAAACTGGCAAAAATTATCAAATGGTTGCTCGCGGCTTACTGACGGCTGCTCTCCAATCCCCGTTGTCTCATTGTGGACTACGGACAAAGTGCATCCTGTGCGCCTGATGGGAGCGCTCCCGTTTTTTATCTCCAAATGAAGCACTTCCAAGGAATGAACGCATTTTGGAAAGCGGTACAGACTCCACTCGTATCCATGATTTTCCTCATTTTTGTATTCTCTCTCTGCCTCTCTCTCAGAGCTTCCCGGCGGACGAGGGCTGGCCCTTCCCAAAATACCACGGCGCTTGCGGCCGTCTCGTGGTCGAGGCCCTCGTGGGGCCCACGCTCTGGGAGCTGTGGGACGCGCCGTGGCAACGCCGTGCCGATCTGGCCGCGCAGCTCCTGGACCTCGCCTCGCAGCTCAGCGACAACGACCTGGACTACGCGCTCTACCCCCTCGACGTCACGCCGGACAACTTCGCAGTGGGCGAGCGCGACGGCCGCGTCGTGCTGGTGGATGCCGAGAACGTGCTCGTGGTGGACAAGCGAGCCTTGCGGCAGGGTGAGCACTGTCTGCCGGGGGGGGCAGGGCGTGGGCCCTGGTTGTTGAGATCTGACGGGGGCTCGGTGCCGCAAGCGGCGTTGCACGGGTGGGGGGGGGGTGGGGAAGAGAGGCGGTGGCTCCATGGTGGGAGATTTCTAGCGGGTGGAGGGCAGGGCTTGTATACATTACTAAGTTTGTGTATTCGATGTAACTTTAGGGGCGACATGGTGGCGACCTCGCCTTGTATACAGGATGTCATGGGTTCGATCCCATCCCTGACGCCTGTATATTATTATGGATGTATATTTAGAGTTTGCATGTTTTCCCCGTGGTCGCGTGGATTTTTCCCTCCACATTTATAAACATGCATTCAGAGTATTTGGCTATCATTTGTGGCTGGTCGCTTTTGACAAAGTGCCACATAGCTCAGTGGGTCTTGCCTGGTAAAATAAAATAATATAGTAACTCAGACACACACGCACACGTGTCCACGGTGTGCAGAAAAACCCGACGGCTGGGACAAGTGGTACGAGAGCGGCAGCGAGGACGGCGACGACGTTGGCGGCGCTGGCGGTGGCCCCAACCTTGTCGCCATGGACTCGTCCCCGCCGGACGGCGCCTGCGAGGGCTGCCTGTCGTTCTCGCGTGACGCGCTATGCACGCGCGCGCACCACGACCACAACTTCTACGCCGTGTGCCGCAGCCTGCTGTCGCCGCGCTCGCTCTGGCGTGGCCGCCGCGGCGGGCTCCTCCACTCGGCCCCGCGCGCCGTCGCCTCCACCGGCCGCCTGGTCCGGCTCGTGGAACGCTGCGCTGATCCGAGGGGCCGTCCCGGCCTCGGGGCCGGAGAGAGGCCCGGCGAGAGGAGGGTGCAGGCGGCCCGGGAGCTCCGCGCGTACCTGGCGGAGCTGCTGGCCGGGAATAACGAAGGCGACGGTAAATGGGAGGAGCCGGTGGTGCCTTTTGGCTGAGCCTGGCACAGCTGTCTCCTCGGTGAATTCGGCAAAAGGCTTTTGTGGGAAACCAGAGGCCCCAAGGGCCAGAACCGACCCATGACAACCCCGCGACCACTTGAGGCCTACAATCGATACTTATTCTCATGGCAGATCATCATGGGATCAAACTACAGTGACTCATCATGCGAGCAAATATGAAGGTCGTTTCTGCGACACGGTGGTAGCTGTCCTTGCAGACATTTTGCGAGCTGCATTTTAAAACACTTACAGCATCCAGTCTGTTGAGAGTTGGCCAGGTGTGAAGAGGATGTTGCTGTAGGTGGTGATAACGTGAAGATTTGATCACCTGCGTCGACTCCAGCGGGTTGATGTTCATCGATGGTGTCACAACAGTCTGAATATGAAGACATTTTACAAAACGGACCTAAAGTTGCAGTATTATATTTACAGTTTTGTGTGAAGCTCAGAACAATGAAGTATATATATAAAAAACCTTTCTTCTATCAATATTCCTACGACTACAGTTTACAATTTACGTTCATTTACTATTCATTTTTTATAGTTGATCAGGGTGTATGGCTGAACATTTGCAATATGTAAAAACCTTGCAATATGTATATACACATTTACATCAAGCAATGCCCAGCCATTGTAAGTTCACTCCCTGTGAAAACCATGGTTTGGACCACTGGTCACATTGCAATGCAGTACAAATAACTCATGGATTTAAAAATAAACAAAGGATATTGTTTTATAGTTAGAATAAAAGACCATCTAAGTCCTGTCAGACCAACATTTTCCAGTACTGGTTTTGACTTGCTCTTGATATCACCAGCAGGGTGTGTGGCCCCAACAAACACTCTCACGGGTGAAAACTTTCCTTGAAATACTGGCCATGTCCTTAACCATAATTCACGTTTTTCCATGCAGCTTCACAACACCAGGTTGCAGTGTCCACGTGTGATGAAAGACGTGCGTATCGCTGCCGCAAGTCCATGAGCCCAGCCGGTGGGGTATCTCACATGTCAGTACTACCTGAGGTGGCATCGCTTTCGCGGTTACAATTTCTGTATGTGGCCAATAGCAGTGAATTATATATGATCGCCATTTGAAATGAGTGGGGGTTATCAAATAATTCACTCTTATTAGCCATGTAAATACACCGGTGCTACTCAGATTTTGCTACCTTCGGTGGTACCAATTTCAGCTCTGGCCCATGGACGATGCGGGGCAAGCCAGCAAAAGCAGCGACGTGCAGAAACGCAAAGGTGGCTGGGTAACTCAGGGGGCCCGACACCAGTCAGAGTGTTGGACCGGCAGCGCCGAAATTCTGTGTTCAACCGCGTCCTCATGCGAATTGAGTTGATGGTCTTAGGTCTTGTCAGCAGACTGCACGAAAGAAAAAACATTACATTTGTTTTGGTCACGTTGCCTTATACCAGCACCAAGGCCTAAAAACTAATGTATCCATGTGATAAACACCTATAGCAGAGCATGTGAGGTGCATTGCCTCTGAATGTATTGTGGTGTCATCTTCCAGAAGCTGTTCTGATGCAGGGAGATGCACTGCTGTCTGTGGAATTGTGAATGTGACATGTCCCGTTGACTTACGCCCTGAGTGGGCACAGCCAGTATTGCCGCTGGTGCATACGCAATAAGTACATAACGATTCTTCAGTTAAGGTTGATTATGGATCGATTGTGCGCATAAGAACCTGTGAAGAAATGAATGCGCAATGTGGAACAATCGCGACAGAATGACACGGAACTTGAGACAAAATACGAATGAGACGATACAAATTGTGGCAACAAAAAAAATTGTTCCTTGAATCAAATCGTGACCCTGAATTGTGACAGTACATGAATTTGGGGAAAGGAGTGAAAAATTAATATGCATCGTATATATGAACAGGATAGTGTCAAACAGCAAGGACCTAGGTTCGATTCCTGGCTCAGCTGCCTTTCTATATGGAGTCATGTTCTTCCCCTATTCTGCATGAATTTCCGCCGGTCTCTCCAGTTTCCTCTCGTACATAAAAAAGGACATACACTATAACTTGTATTGGACAAAAATCCCAAAGCTGGAAAGTCACCTGCAAATTACTTAATTTGAACTACACATAGCAACTTGTGGCCCCAGCTGCAAATACTTGCTAGGACTGTTGAAAGACTTTTGAGACTCAAAAGAGTCCTGGGTAAACATGCGTAATAAAAAATACTGCATAATTCATGCAACACACGTGTTATGGGGTCTTTATTTGAGTTCTATGTTTCATTGCAAGTTGTTACAATTTGTGAAAAAAATTGGCAGCCCATCTTTAAAGAGTATCAGTGGTTAGGATACAATCGCGTATAAAATGTACAGCGTTACAAATATTTATTATTCAGTTTTAATGTTGTAACTGCTTACATGGCCAAAGAGTAATGTTACATACTCGTACTGCGTATGAATTTGTATAATTTACATGATTTGATATGGAACTTTTCAAGTCAATAGCAATCCCTACGTCGCAATGCCCTGCTACTTCAAAGAATTTGAATATTTACAGTGAATGTAAATTAGCTGGAAATTCTTAATAAAAATACAATAAGACAATGTAAACGGAACAGTTCAAATACTTCGAGACCTGCATGTCGGTATTGCGTATTGTAGTTTTGAACACACAGGCAGCTAATGTAACTTTAAACAAGGTCCTCTATGATAAAATGACGATGGATAAATCAAGGCTACGTTTTACGACAACAAAAATACACACAAGCGATTGTAAACTTAACAAAACATTGAGTTGCAGAGTCAACTGCATTGTTTCAAAACGCCACACACGATCACACTCGCGTCAGACTCGGTGCGAGCGTGCAAGGCAAGAGATTTAAAAAAAAAAATGTTTTAATACACTGCGTTCACATTCACCAAACCCGCACTGACTAGTGTGGTAAAGTATGGTCAAACACGTCAGGATCAAACACACGGCATGGGGAGGACTTCATCCAGCAGTGGCTTGGCAAAGGTGCTGTACATTATTATAACATACGCAGCATGTTCTGTCACTCAAGGAGATGCGTAGTCCGTGACAACTTCACACTTTGAAGGAAAGTTTGTACATTTTTTTTTCTCCCGTTGCGCTTTCGCGAAACCCCACGCTGCGCATTCTCGCGTCGGCGGCGCAGTGGCAGGGTAAACCAACTGTGGCACGTCGGGCGTCGGAGGTCTCCGTTTAAAAAAAAAAAAAAACTCCCATGCCCCAGTGGCAGGCGGTCGCTTTGCTCCCTGCACAGGCGCAGGCTGGGGGGGGGGGGGCTTACGCGGGATGGGACGGACTGGTCGCCCCGTTCTCCAGACAACCGTTGAGCAACACGGAGGATTCGCGAGGCCTCTTCCTCCTCGTCGTCGCCGCGATGGCGTTTCTTGAGCCGGGACGGCTCGCGACAGGTCTCCGAGTGCAGACCCTCACTGCTGCAGGACGCGCCCAATGCCCCTGATGTGCCGCTTCCGTGGGTGTCGGGACAACAGCGGTTTAGATTTGTGTTTTTAACTTAACGTTGGCAGATTTGTATACAAGGTATCATGCACTTGTTTTTTCCGTCCATGAAATATATTTTATACACCAGTTTTGTGCACATCGTTTTTTGCATGGTGGTTACATGGAGATGCAAGCGGAATCAAAATTGTAGTTTTTGCTGTTGTTGTACATACTGGTTAATGCCTTCTATTCGATTTGGCCCAGAGTTATTGCCCCGAAGGCATATAGTATCCTAAAAGCATGCATTGAGGAGCTTTGCATCAACTTTTTAATAGGAAGATGGTTACGTGATAATTATATACATATTTATATTGTTTCCCTTCAATGACTTGACGCGGCAATGCCCTTACGTATTTACTTTCGCGAAAAGAGCCCTGGTAAAAATTACGTGCATGTGGACGGCTGTGGTTAGCGTTTACACATCACACACAAAAACAACAGTAGCGCCAGTGAGATATGCAGCGCATGTGCTTCGTGTCGACGACGACGACGCTGCTGCTGCTGCTGCTGCGTCCCACAGAGCTTTGTGGGTCAGCAGCAGGCGGGGAGAAACGTGAACTTGAGTGCTCGCGAAGGAGTTCAGTGAAAGCGGCCCAAGTGCTTGACCACCAGGGAGAAACTTGGCGTCCTCGCTCGCGACGCTCCACGTAAACACCGCGCCACGGGACGGCGAAAGCGAACGGCGATCCCCCGAGCAATCCACGTGCGGCACTGGCGGTCGGTACGATTGTGTTTTTTTTTTAATATCTGCTAAGCGACGTACGCACGCTGCGCTAAGGCCACCGTCTCGCCTAGCCCCACGAGCACAACCTGTGAGCTTGGCGACGGGTGCTCGGGAAGGTTGATCGGAGGGCTGCGTACGTGCTGGCGTGCGAGGGTGCATGTGTGCTCCGCCTCCATTTGCAGCGAAGTTGAAATGTGGCCGAGACGAGCGGTCCAGGGTCGTGCACGGCCGAGGTCGTTGGCGGTGCCGATTTAGGCCTGCAGAATGAGCATCGTCACGAGCCCTGCCGGCACAAATGACAAGCGCCGCTTGAAATCGCTGCTCGTTAGAATTGGCTTTTGTGTTTAGTTTGTTGTCCTTCCCCCGCACTTCCGATTCGCACGGTTGGCTGCGTACAGTGCAAAATAAGTTCTACAAACATGCGCTGCCCATCACTTTTCACATCATCTGCAAATGCAGTTTCAACGGTTGAAAATGGGCAACATCCAGATGGCTATCGTGACTGTAAATCCAAGCTGTGCGTTCAAAACGCAAGAATGCATTATCTATTTATTTAGTTATCAAACGCAATGCAGTCATTAACACGTCACGTTATTAAAATAAAGAACGCAAAAATAGTTACGTAACATCAAAGGGAGACTATCAAAGACACATTCGGAAACTTTACGCCCACATGCGCCGATAGTGGAAAAGGACTTTAATTACAGTGATTAAGCCTAAGGATGACGAAGGATTTTAAATAACTTTAAAATTATGGTGAAAAGCGGTGTAGTATATTCCGTGCTTCACAGCCCACTTTGCCCAATTTCGTGTTGACGTGCACCGGGGGGTTTAAAAATCAGGTCACGAGTCATCCACTCAGTGTAGTCCATGGGTCACAATGTTAATTGGAACAGCTTTGGTATTCCCAATTTCTTGATATTTTTATTTATTTAACTTTATCCAACAGCCCTTTGTCAGTCCACAGCTGTACCCCACCACACGTGACCTGCCCAACGACTGCCTGGGGCAGTACTTATTTATGCTGCTGTGTGTAGAGAGGCGGTGGGGGTGGATTTAAAAAAAAAAACTTTACCACCATTATTTTGACTGCCGTGACGGAAGATTGAAGTTAACCCTTGATCTCTGCATTTCAAGTCCAGCGTTTTAACCGTTACACCAGTGGCCACTGGCCTTTGTTTTTCAGTTAAAAATGTAAACGTGCGATGTTTATTGCTGAACATTTCTATACGTGCGGTAAACCGGAAACCACTTTTGTTTTTTTTCTCTTCCAATTATTAATGCGCTTAACGCGAATTAACCCCTTTCCCATGTCCGAGACGTCTGAAATTCACAGGGGAATGTCCCATTCACCTCTGAATCTCAGAACGCGCAAGCGGCTCTGTTATTTTAGAGAGGCATAGCGCTGTTGTTTTTAAAGACATTGCACTCACTGCAGAGGACCGTAGCGACACCACCGCCGCACTGTACGATAGCCCGTGCCAAACTGCCACACAAATTCTTGTGGGAGCCTCGGTACCGATTACATTTAATTTTTTCTTCCGGTTTAATTTCGATGACGCACACGTACATCAGCGGAACGGCAAAGGTTTCAAAACAAGAAAACTACTTTCGACAACCCTAAATCCATACCCAGCACATAGGCAGCGACCAGCTTCTGGTGGGCGGTGAGGTGCAGGTAGTGGGGCAGCAGGGAGCCCGTGTCACCCAGCGTGGGCAGCATCAGCGCCACGACGCACACCGCTCCCGTCAGGATCACCAAGTAGCTGGCCCCGCTACCCGCACGCACACCTGCTGCGGTCGTCGCGCGGGGTACAGGAGAGAGAGAAGGATGGCGCAACAGCCAGCGTCAGCGAGGGTAACGGTGGGTGGCGTTGTGGTGGTTGGACATGGGCCATGGTGCGAGGAATGAAATGGGACACCCCCCCACCCCCTCTCCGGGTTTCTCTTTTAGTAGCTTAGGGCCTGGGGGGCCCTGCCCCCACCCTCTCCCCCCTTATCGGCATGTGGGCCCCGGTGCAGTTGCACGGCCTGCACTCTGCTGACAACGTAGCCACCAATTGCACTTTTTTATAGGTTTAGTGGTCAACCATCCAAGAACTATATGCAGGCTCAAGTCTGCTTTAGCTTTCGAGATCTGGCAAGATCGGCCGCATACCAATTTGGTTACAGCTGTGTTTCAATGTGTTCGTGTCAAAGGTACAAAACCCTGCAATTCCTTGCTCATGCTACTGCTGGTGGAAGGGTCTCCACTCAACGGCATTTTGGCCTACAACTTCCATGCTAGGCAGATGTGTTGTCGGTGGAAGAATACCCACACCTGACCCTACCAAAAGCTACCTCCCAATCGACCGAGGTCTACCCATTTGCCTTGCTGTGGCGGGCGGGCGGGGGTGGTGGTATTTGAGTAAACCTGCTCGCTATGTCAACTGCCTTGCCGAGAGAAGCACGTGAATCGAATGCGATGCGGTGTTTTGCGGCGTGCAGTGGCGGTACCGCGTGTGTAGTGAGCGCGCTCAAATATGGAGTCGGCTTCCCGCACTGCAGCTGCCGCCCTCTCTCCGGCCTTCTGTCGCCCCGCGTCTCTCTGCGCCGAAGCTCCTCCCCTCTGCCAACACACGCACCTCCGATTAGCACGGTTGGCTACGTACGATGCGGAAAGTAGTTCTGCATACATGCACACCCGCGCGCGTGGAACGCCACCCCATTGATCGGTGTATTAGACACGTTCTGGGGTCACCAGATACCATTTGTACCTCCTGTATTGCACGATGAGCGGTGACGTGAGCAATGGGGGGACGGCACTTCACCATTCACAATTACACTTACATACAGACCCATAGACTTACACAGAGACCACAGTCGACCCATACTATACGATGCAGTGTGAGCGATAATTACCTGTGTCTCCCATGTGCTGTTGTAACACGATAATTAAGCATAGTGTAGTTATGTATTGACAATAAAACACCTAGCACTGGTTTTATTAGTACA